TGAGCCCTGAGACAAGGTGGCACTTTGCTTTTAAACAGCACACATTAGCAAAAAATTGTATTATTTCAGCATTGTCGGAGACATATCACAACTGTTAATGGTAGAATTTCGGGGCAATAGTAATTGGCTAGGCTACTACAAACAGAAAATTATGTGAAATCCACCGAAGCGTTCATGACCGAAGCCATAAAAAGGCTTTACTCCAGCGAAAAAAGGTTTGCAGACGCCTACATTCCCCACAATGGAATACAAAAAGTATCAGAAGTTAAATCTCTTTCCATTATTTTTAATTCCTGATAGTAGAAATGCTGAATTTTTCATTAAATTCGATTTGGTGAAACAGAGACTGAACGAGCTTTTAATCCAAGAACTATGGAGTCAATATTTCACTACTGAAAACGGAAGGCATTGAGTAGCACTAGTTTGGCTGCCTTCCACTATGCGAGCTCGTTGCATTACAGATTGAGGAAATCTGTTTTGAGCAAACGGGCTTAATGAGACTATTTTAACAATCAACCGCCAACCATTATCCAACTTCTACACTTTATAAATGTGCAATAAACGCAATTCGACCCTTCTACAATATTCCCTATTTTGCCCCTATCTGCCTCAACCAATTAGCAAGCTATTTGCCATCAGATCAGTCTAGCGTGTTCTCGGATGATCGACTCGGCGGTTCAGCGAAATACGGTTTATAACTCTTGACGTCAAATGGGTGTGTCTCAAGCAAACCACGTGGCAGGCTCATCTTCTCTTGGCCTCTTGGAATGCAGAAATTGTCTCGGATAATCCAGTACATTATCGAATTTTCCATATAGAATCCTACTTTGAACAAAATCCGCTCCATGGCTCTTTGCTTCACCACCAGATTGTTCTCCACGACCTCAATAGCAGACCAACTTTAAACACTGCGTGTGGGATCGCTGAATTATACAGTTCTTTCTTTGATCGGATGGATAACTCACTGTCGAGTAATGACGTTCTAATACGACTAAAACTGGTGGATGCCACCTACATTATTGGTTGATTTCTCTTTCCAGCAAGTTCATGCGGTCAATCTAACAGTAACTGCTGACTTATTTGATTTCTTCGCCATTTGCGCATACAGAGCACTCAAGGCAGCCCCAGTTTCGCATTCGTTTCGTCTTGGGTAGGTAAACCTCCAAACGATCCTACACATTCTGCATCCAACCGATGGATTTGCAACAGAAGGGTACCATGTTTGGTGAGGAGAAAGTGCAGTCCTCGAAAGATAACAAGTATGCTAGCTGCTCCTCATCGATATTAATATCGTTGCTCCAGTTTAGCTGGCTGAACAGTTACTCCAAAGTGGCTGCGAAAAAAGCTGATGAGTGGCAATTTTTTTGGCGCATTCCAACAGGGCACTGATACAATATGGTTTGCTGAACAACGTGTTGTCGGTC